TGTAATAATATGTAATAATATGTAATAATATGTAATAACATGTTTTCTTATTGTGCAGACAGAATCAGACTGCAGAGCTTCTACATATCTTGATGTGTTGTATCTGGCATCATTATATTAGTAAAGAGGTTCATACATCTTTTTAAACAGAGAGAAGCAGGGAGAGCTGCAGATTTAAAGATGAAACATTTACTGGGATATGCAACATGCAATAAAATATATCCCCAAGTTTACCAGAAAGTTTACAGGAAACAGAACTCTATGCTATATTTAAAACGCAGCATATCCTTATTTTTCTAGATGGATGGAAAATTGTAAATTCTAGGGATGCATGATTTATCGATTTTGGCATTGGAATCAGCTGTTATTTATTATTTTTCAATATAAAGTAATGTTTTTTGGTCCTATATGTGTAGTGCACTAAAAGGAATCTCTCTAACATCTTTACATATAAGTATCAGTGTGTTATGGTTCTCTTGTGCTCTCAACAATAGGAAAGCATTCAATAAATAGATGTTTGAGCTCATTTTTGGAAAATACAAAAACCTAATATAAGGGTAGGTCCCGAGTGTCCCCACCAACTTTCATCACAAACTTACACCCTTGCAGCAGAGTGATTTATTTACAAGTAAGGCGAGGACCTTTTGGTTAGGTTTGGAACTAAAGTGTGAATTCTAGGCGTATATTCCCTTTGGTTTAGGGTTAAGCCATAGAAATAGTTGAAAATGAATATTAAATATGTGTGTTGGTGTCTCCAGTATAGACTGGTATAGTGCGCCAACTATTGAATCTTGTTTTTCAACCCTGCTGATTAAATATTGCGCATATATTCCACATGTTATATTGTGTTGGAGTTTATCATCGGATCATGTCAAAAAGCAGCTAGACGGCCGCTTATATTCATCCATGTTTATGCTCTTATATTTACTGTGTTAATTATTTTTTGTTGTTAGTCTTATATTTGCTTGCAGACTATTTTTTTCGGTGTTTATTTACTGTTAAACTGAAATGTGAAATATTGTGAACAGCCGCATCTGTCTGACGCGCAGTGGTTCAGAACAAAAATGTTCCGAGTGTTTTGCGCAGCATCTCGCGACACAAAGCAGAAAAACGTTACAGAGGTACCAGTTATCCAAATTTTTCATATTTGGTTTGCATTTCGTTCACAAAAGGTTTCATAGAATTTTTTTTAATGCTTTTTAGAGAACTTTATCTGTGTTCCAGCAATCTGGAATGCGCTTTAGTCTGACATTTCGATGATGTATTTGAGTTAAAGGTTGGCAGTTTTAAATGTCATGTATTATTATAATCCAGGATACAAGACAAGAAATTAAACATTAAAAAAACGTTGACTGAATCTTAAGTACATTTGAATAAATAAATAAATTGTAGGCTACTTAAAGTCTAACTTTGAATGATGAAAAATTTGATTGATAAATAATTTCCCGAAAAAAATATTAAATAATACATCTTTATTGTTATTATTGTTGTTATTATTATCATTTATATTAGTAGTACTATTATTACAAAATACAATAGTACACTATATTATTACATTGCATATAATTTCCTAAGGTGTGAAATAAGTTTTTTCTTTACAGTTTAAGAAAATATTCTAAAGAAATGTGCAATAGGCTACTCATGACAAAATAATTATGTTAACAAATGCATACATATTTACACAAAAATTCACCCAGCCCACTCTCACACAGACTTTAGGGCAAAATAAGTATATACCATGTTAATGAAACAAAGGTCTATTATGAAGTAATACAAATGTTTTATTTGCCAACTATTTTGAAAAGTTACAGCTCAACTTAAAAATTTACTACCCACTATAATAAATAAGGTTGAAGCTGATCTGGTTGATATCATTTTTGATGTTGACATAAGATTGAGTGAATGCAAAGCAATATATATGTGGTATATAATTAATTTCACTCTTATCCAGAAACCTAATAAAATAATTAGGAGTGACTCCAACTTCAGCTCTCTCCGTTTCAGTTGCTCTGTCCTTGGGAAAGACACTTTACCTACATTACCTACTGATGGTGGTCAGAGGGCCCCGTGCCGCCTGTGTGCGGCAGCCTCACGTCTGTCAGTGAGCCCCAGGGTAGCAGTGGTTACAGAGAAGCTCACTACCATCAATATGTGAATGTTTGCATGAATGACTAAATATAGTGTAAAGTGTTTTGGAGTCTCATCTCTTGAAAAGCGATTTTTAGCTACAGGCCATATGTATCTAAAACTGAAAATGAATGAATGAAACATTATAATAAACATTATCATCATAATAGTTCCAGCTTGAAAGTATTTAATTAATTGCAAATAAAAGAAACAAAAGCATAATTTTTTCAAGGCACATAGAAAAAGATTTGTTTCTTTCTTTTTCGTGACCATCCAGATCCAATGTGAAAACACTCGGACTGAGCAGTGGAAGAAAGGGCTTTTGATTCTGAAGAGTTATCTCAGATCTAAAAGCCTTCATCCAAACACTCTGCACTTAAAGGCTTCAGACGTGGTGCTGTTAGTTTTGAGGGACATCTCATCATCTCTCTGGACACCCGAGGCTGCGCCCTGCTCAGATGATAGACAAGTGTATAAACATTAGGTCCATTTTTTCTGAGAGGACTCACGCTCCATTTGGTTTCTTTTTTCTGCATCAGAGAAAGCTATGCAAAGACAAATACAGTATTACCTTTTCTGTAAATGTTAAAGATGTTTTAAATGAGTTATTTTCCAAAGTTTACCGTTTAATTTAAAAGGGGGTCTTCACTGTGTCTTTCTTTGAGAAGTATGTAAAACTTAACATATTTATGCAAATAAGTTTTCTTTTCCTTTGTCATCTGAAGCAGCACTTTAGCTGCCCAAAGTGACATGCTTGGGACAGTGTTTAACATGCAAATAAATCCAATGATCAGTATAGGTCTTTACATACTCTGGATTAATTAATTGTAATAAAATACACTTTTAATACATGTTAAAAGTTAAAAATAATGTCCAAATTGCTCTGGGATCTGTAGATCCTTGATGAATTAAAACAAGGGCTTTTTATGGTCTCTGCCTGTGATGTGTAGCTCACAGGTTTAGCCCGGAAAATGCCAGATAAACAGTGTCAACACTGTGTCCCTCCCTCCCGGTGCCCCTAAAACCATGTTCCTCCAGCTTGTCCTGGGCATGACCCTGAACAGGAAATCAGTTCAGCCTGTTCAGAGTCCCTTCCCACCTCCTCCTCCATCAGCAGCAGGGTTCTGGGCGCAGACACCACCAGATTAAGGTGACCCTGCACTCTCACTGCTTGACATGCTACCCTCAAACTAAAGAGGATCTTCCTCCTTCTCTTTCACAGCCTGTGACACCCGACAGTTTCCATCTTAAAACACACAAGTGCACTGAAAGTTGTTGCTGCCGTTTCATTTTGTGGAGTAAAAATTTAGGATGAGAATTTTTTTATTTTTTTTTATTTTATTATCAATCAAAAGTGGTGTTGGCAGAATACGAGTCAAGCACCACCCAGAGAACCTTGCCTCAACTAGCAAACAAGGTGGTAGCATCATGCTGAGTGTGCTTCACTGTATGTTACATACCCCGTTAATAAAAATGCCAAGGACCCTCTTAAAGGATTTCCCCCCCATTTAATCTTATTATTAAAAGGGCTTGCCTGGATCCTCAAAGATGAATTCTATAAATTTTCCAAATTAGCGGCAGGTGGTGTAGTAAAATATATATACCTGCTTATGGATTTTTTCTACTACTGACATGTTTGGACAAACACATTTTGCCAAATAAAATAAACTTATTTATAACTTTAATGAGGACATTTTTTCTCTACATTTCACAGTAATGGAAATTTAGATGAAAAATACATATGAATTTCTTTGCACTCTGATAATTAATAAAATTAATTTTAATATATAGATAGTCTAATACACTTTTTCTTACGTCGAATAAGTGAAATGCAGCCAGAGGGACTATGCAGCAAAATGATTTTTCAAAAGGCATTTCTTTTTCAAGTACATTTCAGTGGCCTCTCTTGCCATTGGAAGCATCAGTAATATACTCCACAAAGGTGACACTGTAATATTGGCTTTATTCCTATTTTCTCTAATCTTGCTAATTTCCATCCCACTCGAATTGCATCTGTAGCATTTAAACAAAACATATATCATCTGACTAATAAGTTAAAAAACACAAATAACAAATTTAAACTTGTGACAATAAACTTAAGCATTAAGGGAACATATAATTATTACACTGCAATTTAGTGCAGGAAATCTGCAATAAATTCAGACTTTGTAACAAAAATTTTTTTTTAGAATTTTTAGTTGTTTGATGTATAATATTTACAGCAATGTAAAAAGAGGAAAAA